TTTCATCTTTGTAGTCAAGCACTTGTACAAATGGCCAGGAAGCTCATCATCACACATGTTGGTGTCCATCTCCAAATGATGTAACTGGAAATGTATCTTCTAACTTGTCTGGAGTCTTGGTGAGCCCAGGAATCCTTTCACTTTCAGAATGTCAATCCCCAGAGCCATACAGCACACAGGTAAGGTGTGCTGTCTTTGCTTTGGGCCAGATTAGGATATGTTGTACAATGATATGCACTTGAGTCTGTTTTTTCCCACATAATATGGTTAGGAAATTGTCTATGTACATATTGTGTATTTGCTGTATACTCAGTATAATTACAAAAGTCACTGTGAATCAATGCTTTGAAAGATTGCTATTTGATCTATTTTCACAGATCCTACTTCATGGAATCTACTCTATGGGTGACTGCTTGATTTTCTTACACTGTTTTCTTATGGAACTTCTAAAGCTGTGTGTGACAACCTATTTGGATCTCTGAATTCTGACCTTGGTGCATGAGAGCTTTACCTAAAATACAAACTGTTATTTGGAGTGTATCCAATACCTTTGGAAGTCAATCTTAGCTTTTTGGTTCTTGACCCCATGTTCAATTGGCTAAATTACTTTTATATCACAATTCTATCTCTAAGTACTCATCCATGAGAAAGAGGATCTTGACTATAATTGACTGGTGTTTGACAATTTGGCTGGTTCCTCAGTCTGATATTTCTTCTTCCCACTACACTATTTGCTATTTGAACCAGAACTTAGACTTTGAGTCTAATTTCTTGATTGTTGATAAAAATGTCAACCATGTATATTATATAATGAATACAGTTTGATGGATATATTTTCTTTGTAACAGTTAAGTAATCCATAGCAATTATAGACTTGAGAGAGTTCTTAGTAACTTCTAGTCTGCTGGTTTTTAATCCTGACTGCACAGTGGAATCACCTGAGGACTGTAAAACATGCCAAGAGCTGACATTAACCTTATCTTAATGATGTCAAAACTCTGGGTTGGAGTTAATGCAACAAAACAAAACAAAACAAAACAAAAACCCAATGTGAATCTGATGTGCAATCAGTAATGACATTGACTGACCTAGCCCTTCATGCACCATTTAAGGCCAAGGAAAATAAGATTTTTAAACAGCTCATCATCTTTGCTAGAGGTAGCCAAAATGCAAGAAGGGATTATCATTGTTTTCTAACTTGTAGTATATTTCACTAAAGGAATCCTTTGAAATTTCTATAAAGCAGTGTTCTGGACCCCTGCGAGATGTGCATGTCTTCAGTGTTACTTCCCATTCTCCAGACTTTTAAAGCTCCTATCACAGGGCTTTTCCCAGGCTTGCCTTGGCTTTGGTTGCCCTGTCTCTAGCTCTCATCTTGCTCCAGCTTTTTTGGTGCCACAGATTTTTTTTTCATAAAACACCGTGGTTTACATCTTGCATTTAAGTCTCACTCCATCTCTCTGGATATTATAAGTTTTAGATTCTATTCCTTAAGGGGCTTACTGTCAACCAGGTGATAAGAAATAACTTTTGATCTTCAAACTCCTGTTTCTAACCCCAAATTATACTACCTTGAGAACTAGTGATTTTATGGGTGTTATTTCTAGTATAAATTTGTTTTAAGGGGGCCCCAGAAACTCCTCAAACAGAATAAACTACTGCCATTTCCTTGGCTGCCTCCCAGAACTTGAAGACAAGACTCTATGGCTGACAATATCACAGTTCTTTAGACACTGGATTTGGAGATGGCCAATTAGAACTGATCTAGAAGCCTTCTCCCTTAGGACTAGCTCTCACAGTATTGGAAGGGGTTATTGTTCTGGGAAAGTCATTGTTGTGGTTCATAGGCTTTACAACTGGATAAGACTATTGTTTGATTTTCTCTGTTGGCAATATCCCCAGTGATACAATAGTGGCATTTTTATCCTCAGATAATCAACATTTATCGAATTAGAACTGAGTGCCTCTCAACAGAAGGCAATAAATACCTGTTCTTATAAACATAGCTAATTACCCGTGGCTAGAGATGTCATAGGCCATGAAGGAGAACTTATGACCACAAACACAAACTTTTGAGGAAGTCCTTTTTATTGTGTAACTCCAGATGTTAATCTCAAGAAAAAATGATGACTGTGTCCTTCTGGTCTTACTAGGGCCTAGGTAGCCACCTACATATTGAAGAACAGAAAGTTATAAAGGATTACTATTATAATTTAATACATCACCTAACAATCAGCATTCCTTCAAGAACTGGGTATCCTAAGAATAATTTTCTAAGCCTCTACACTGTATTATTCTTTTCCTAATGACATAACCATTGACTAGTATTAAGCATTAGAGCAAAATTAAGTGTCAGTGGTCCCTGCACCCTATAATAGGGCTACTATTTGACATTACATATGGTGGATGGAGGACAGAAAAGGTTTTTTTATCAATGATAAGTGAAGAACAAACATAGCATACTCATCTGATAAACTTGCCTGTGCCAATGTCCTAATTTACAAGTAAGTACATCGAGGAAACAGAGCAGAGGCCCATGTAATCCAAGGATGTTGCTCAAGCTCAAGGCATAGTGGAAGAAAACTAGGACTAGAGGATGTCAGAAGGGATGGAGACAAATTGGACAATGCTGGAATAGGGCATAGTGAGTTAAGGGGCCTTAACAATGGGCTTGTATTCTTCAGGGATGACCCACCCACCCCATTCTAGCTAGTGGAACTGAATGACTGGGATGGGAAACATTTGATGAAACAGAGAAGTATTATGGATGAATTGAAGGTATATTTGAGACATCAAAGGAGTGGTATCTGTATTCATTTGAAGACTGGAGGATAGACCTGAACTGGAGATAACCTTGAGAGTCATTCAGTTACGTGTGGTAAACCATGGAAATGATGGGACAGATTGAAGGGTGGAAGATTGGCCCTTTATTGCCCACCATTTGACTTGGAAATAAAGTTTCAGTGAAATATAGTGTCCTTCATCTTATACTGCACACAAAATGACTACTTTCACACCCGTGGCGGATTGTAGTAAGTGTGATAGAAACCGAAAATACATATGTAAAGAAGATTGCTGACTCCAAAGTAACACTGGACAAGACAGAACATGGGAGCATTAACAGTCAAGACTGAGCATAAATAATGAGCCTTCAAAAGAAATTGGGAAGATTCTGGGGAATTAGGAAGAAATCAAAGAGACTGGAATATCACAGAAGCAAATGAAAGAGATGGTGCCAAGAAAAAAAAAAAAGAAGGAATAGTTCCCAAAGGCAGTTGTTGCCAAGAGCTTAAGTCAGAAGAGGGCTTGAACATGTCAGTAAGATCTTAGTTTGTGATTGTCATTGATGACATTTTCAGCGGCATGATGGGAACTAATGCCACATTGCATAGGGTTGAAGAATTTGTCTACTGCACGTAGACAAATACTGGGGAATTTCATTTTTTTCAGAGAAGGGGAAAAATAGCTAGGAAGGTTTTGGCATCAAAGGGGATTTTTTTTTGTATATGTGTAAAATGGGGCAGATTGGAACATTAGGAACTGAGGAAACTGGCAAGTATTCAATCTATGAGGAAGAGAGGGTAATCAGAAGAGAAAGTTGCTGTAAAGGCTAGAGAGACTGACATACAAAGGACAGGGAGTCACTCTCAGGAGCAGACATATTCCCCTGGCAGCAGTCAAGAGTAATGGGGAGTTGAGGCTTCATAGACTTTTCATCAATAGAAGTTTGCAGAGTTTTCATTTGGCGGTTTTAAGTTTTCCGAAGCAGCAGGAAGAAATTAAAGTCTTGACTGGGAATGAGAAAGGACGATACATATGTGAGGATGGATGGGTGGACATTATAGACTGGAAGAGAGAGGGGCTGAGAAAGTTTTAAAATATTGAGACAATAGCTTAACCCGAGACACACAATAGGATGATAGAACAAAGCATAAGATCCTGAGGATGGTGACAGCATGTTAGGACTGATGTTACTCTTTCTAGGTGCTTGGCTTCCCCACCAGCAGACCTGCTCCAGAGAGAGCAGGGAGATTGATTTGTCACAGAGGTCACAAAAACAGGGACATGTCAGAGATTCTTTTTGAAATAATGCAGCAGAAGGAGGATAAGGAGGGATATTGTGAAATGTGGACTCATGAAGTAGAAGTATTGGTCAATCTCAAAGTCATTATGGAACAATCGGGCCAATAACCAGAAGGGAAGACACAGTGATCACAGCACAGAATTCCTAAAGGCAGTTTGGGGGAAATGCCAACACCCAGAGGAGATGAAGAAAATGTCTCATTGGATGTATTTTTTTGTTCACATGATAAGACAAAAGTATATAAAGGATGGAGGATGACTAGAGCATAGAGAATTTTAAGACAGTGAAACTACTCTTTACAATACCATAGTGTTATACCTCTCACTCTCCTATATATGACATGAGTTTATATGTTTTTTATATATATATATATATATATATATATATATATATATATATATATACACATATATATACATACACATACACACACACACACACACACACACACATATATATATATATAAAATAAATTTTTTATTTACCTTCAAGTAAAATGTGGACTCTAGGTGCTAAGTGTATATCAGTATGGGTTCATTAGTTGTAACAAAGCATACTATGGTAGGAGCTGTTGACAGCTGGGGAGTTTGGGCTCCTTGGTTACAAAATGTATGTAGAGTATCTATGTATCTTCTCATCAGTTTTGTTGTAAATCTAAAGTTGCCATATAATTTAAAGTCCATTTTTTTAAAAATTAAAAGAAAATATAATGAGAAAAGAGATATTAACAGGCTTGTCTTTTTTCCAACATTGGGGAATTTCTTCCAACCTGGCCATAATCAGGATTTCAAAGTCAAAAGTTCAGATATTTAGTGATTCAAACAATGTTAACACAGTAAGTTAAAAGAAATACAAAAGATGATAAATCACAAGCATTTTCCTTTATTACTAATATTCTAATTTATACTTTTCATAGGTGGCTGGAAATAGTTGTGGTGACTGGTCCCTGTGGAAAGTCTTCCTGGCTAGTCTATTAGCCTCTGTGCTAACAACAGTGATTGGGGTACTCACACTGAGCCTGGTGAATAGAAACAATTCCCCCATTGTTATTCACTTACTCTCCAACACTGAAGCACCTATAGTTACTCCTGGAACAACCTCTACTACTTCTCAAAACAGAGTGGCCACTTCCACAGGGTCTACAACTGCCATGACATCCCCTGAAACAACAGCCATAACAGCCACAACAGCCACCACAACTTCTACTGAGCCAGCAAGGACATCCACTTCAACCCAGCCAACAACCTCTGCAGCATCCACTGAAATGAGTGCCACAATGGCCACGGCCATGACTTCAACTCCACCTATAACCACAACAGCCACCCCCATGACTTCATCTGGATCCATGAGTACAGCTGCCTCAACCCAGCCCACAACCTCTGGAGCCCCCACTGAAACGTCAGCCACAACCATGGATTCAACTCAACATTTAACCACATTATCTACAGCTTCAAGTGAAACCACATCCACCACCAGTGTTACAGAAACCAATGTATAACCCAGCACAGAAGAGGTCGTGTACACCACTGCTGCACTTGGAACTCCATCTGGAGCTCCTTACTCACAATTGCAACAGTTGCTTGAACCAAGATGCCACCACCTTAATAAGCCCTCTAACAGCGGAAGCTTCAATAGCACTAGGTGTTACTACAAGTAGACACAGCGGACAATCAAAACAATCATGGCTTTCCCCATCATTTTAATGGAAACTTTGTTCAACTGAATTGACAACTACTACTATAGTACTTCCATTTAACCTACAATGGTAACTTCTGCTTATTCTACAATAACAGTGCTCTTTACTCTCCTTCACTAAGTTATAATCGCCATCTAGTCATGGGAGCCTGCAACAAACACCACTTTAGACTTAACAGAATTACTGTCAGTCATAAAAATAGCTTCTTGTACATCAAGTACACTTTTAGTTATCATTAATATCAATCACCCTACAGTTACTTTCACACTGACTTTTCTCCAAACATAAATTGTAGTTATCTCTTCCATACCAGCTGAACTCAATATGTCTCAAGCATGCCCACAACAAGGATGCAACTTGAAGAATAGTAATTTGGACCACTATGAATGCAATAATTATCCCAATTTTCACAAAACCAACATAGAATTTCTAAAAGTGCCAAAATTTTTAATATGACTGAACTTTTCGGTTATAAGAATCAGAACTTGATTCTGTAGCTCCAATAGAATAATTCTGTATGGGAAAATGATACAACTGGTTCACTTAGGAGCTCATTACGAAGCTTCATCTAAAATTTAACAAAGTCAGGCATTTAGATTTTAGTATGTTTTGCGTATGCTCATAACACTGCATTTCCCTGTGCATAAATTGTCTGCATAAAATAGAAGTTTTTATACAGAGGAGATTTAGACAAATTTATTTATAAAAATGTAAAAATCTAAAATAACTGTTTCCTCTCTGTTGAAATGTGTTGTTTCTTCATTTTTCTCCATATTGTAAATACTTTCTAATAAATTGTATTATAATACACCTGAGTGTCTGAATCTGTATTTTAAAAGAAATAACTGACTTTCTTCAACTTTGTAAGCCACTCAGTTAAATGGTATTTCTTGGATCTGTGTCTGACAGCACTGACGGGGTACAGAGTTGTAATAGAGTCGTAGAGTAAGTGAAAAATACACCCATTCAGACTGTTCATTCATAATTTCAAAATTCCTTCAGCATTTATGGTACAATTAATGGTGCCCCGAAATTACTAAATCAAGGTCTTTGGTTGGAACTCACAATTTATAATGTAACAAAAACGTAACAGATGATTGCAATGCCCATGAAAATTTGAAAATCATAGACTCAAAGGTCAAAGACTAATAATGACATTGTCTGAAGTGATAAAAATTATCATTAAAATACTGAAAAGCAGAATTATGTTCTCAGCATGCAAGAAAAGCCCATAGGTAAAGGTATGTATGAAGACTACGAGCAAAAATTTATTTAATTGATGCATCTATGATTAAAAAGGGCATGCTTCATTTACTAAATGGTAAAGGCATGTTTTAAAGAAAAAATAACTAAAATTTCAAGATTTTTATAAATATTAAATAATTTAATCTTATACTTTGGACACAAGGAGATAGTCATTGGTGATATTGATAAATGTGCTATTTTATTTATATTTGCCTAGAAGTAATGACATTTCAGTAACTACATTACTTTGGGTAATAATTCATATTGTCCTTCCCTTCCTCTCTGATGTTTTGATTGACACTATTGACATAATTATCTATCATATGTTCAGTCTCTCTCTCTCTCTCTCTCTCTATATATATATATATATATATATATATATATGCATATGTATTTCTTTATAGATTCTTTGGGAATTTCAAATCATGCACCCCAATCTGCTCACCTCCCAGTCCCTCCATATTTTTATCATTTTAATAATAGGTGCTCTAACTGGGATGAGATGATACCATTGCGGTAAAGGAACACAGTTCCAGCAGTTGAAATTTACATTATAATGGAAGATGGAGTAAGCGTCAAAGATTTGAAATTGAACAAGTAGTGGGTGTGAAGACAGGAGCACCATATCTAGAAAGTTCTCAGTCTTAACCCTATTGATTGCCTTTTCATGCTGAATAATTCTGTAGGCAACTGTCAGATGTAGTGGAGCATGTCCAACAGCTTTTATGCCTCCTACTCATTAGGAATTGGCAGCACCTGCCTTCTGTTATGATGACCCAAAATACCTTCATTCATTGCCAGAATGTTGCTAGCTGGATTAAATGGGTTGAAAATACAGATACAAACCTTTTCCTAAACATATAAATATGAGCTTTTATAATGACAGTCATCAAAGTGAAAACAAAATGAAACCTAGACATGTAGTTCACCTGCTTTTGAGGCTCTAAACAAAAGATTAAAAACTATCCTCTCTCTCTCTCTCTCTCTCTCTCTCTCTCTCTCTCTCTCTCTCTCTCTGCATGTGTGCATGCATTTTGCTTAAGCTGTGCTTGGCAGAGCACATATGTGGAAGTCAGGAGCTTTGTGGATTTGGCTCTAGACTGTGATGACATGGGTTGACGAATCCAAATTAAGATTGTCAGACTTGCACACTGAGCATGCTTTACCCATCAAGGCATCTTACAGGCCCTAAAACAGAAGAGTTCACAGTGAGATTGAACAAGATGACCTCGGGGCCTGTTCCAATGCTGTCTGGTGACTTTGCTTCTTTTTCATTCAAACGACTCTCATTAATAAGCTTATTATTGTAAGAACAAGTTCTGTGCCCATCATTCAAAGCAGTCTTAAGATCTTAGCTTTCTGACCTGAAAAAGAAAAAGAAAACAAGATTAGAATGGATGAGCCCTGAAGCATCTTGCAGTCTCACTTTGGGAGATCCCCTAAACCAGATTAAGTAAGAAATAAGTTAACACCAGTACTACAGGCTCTTGTCAGTGTGCGACTCCTAGCCTGGTTCTGTTGGGTTCATGGAGTCTGGTGAAGTCACCTCTGAGGATGATGTCATCCTCACTTTTGATATTAAGTACAAACTGACTTCACACAGTAAGATGTAAGTTCTTGCCTCTCTCCTTCGTTCTTAATGTCACTTGGCCTATGATGCTTTTCTGTCCTTTGTGGTTATGACATTGGCAATTTGGGAGAGTACTGGCCCGTGGTTATGTAGAATGACTTTCAGTTTCTTACATTTTCTTTTACTAAATCTGGTCCTATGAACTTGTGAGAAGAGTGCCTGAGGGGCAAGGAGCCATCTTACCATGTCATACTGGAGGGATATAGGTCTCCACACAAAGAAAGTCACTGGTTTTATCAAACCCAATCATTTGGTTAAGGCCATGTTTGTCAGATTCCAAACTGTAAAGTGCTAGTTTTCTTCTATGTTTCGGTAGTACTTGGGATCCAGTCTCTGAGGACAGCTCAGTCCCAGAGTTAACATGTTTCGCAGCATCTTTATCCTCCTCTCTTTAGGTGTCAATAGTGTCCAGTCCCTGTTGTGATGGCCCAAACCCTTCTAAATACGGCAAATGCTGCTGGCTAGATCAAGTAGGCTTATAAACCCATTAAACTATACACTTAATTTTGACAAGAACTTAATTGAGATTTTTTTTTTCAGCTTTCATGGCAAGGAACAAAGCACTTCTGTTATGCTAAAGGAATTCTTTTTGTTGGAAATTCATACAATATTTTGTGATGACTGTTTCCCTCCCACATCTCCCAGATCCTCCCCACTTCCCCCATCCACCCAAATGCATGCTATCTTTCTCTTTAGAAAATAAACAGGCAAATAAAAAAGCAAACAAACCAGAAACACACACACACACACACACACACACACACACACACACACACACACACACACACACACACCCAAAATCTACACACATGAAAAAAACAAAAATAAAAAAAAATCTAGTATACAAGCAAAAGACCAGTAAGATAAAATAGACCCAAACAAAGCATTATGATATCAAAACATCTATAAAAAACACCACTTAGTTTGTTTTGTGTTTGCCTTTTACTGCCAGGCATGAGGCCTACCTGCACTTACATGTTGTTTATATACCCTGTGAGGCTCCACTGGAGAAAACTGATTTTTTTCCATTGTAAGTGGTTGTCAGTTGGAGACAGCCTCTTGGGTAGGTACAGGAGCTAATGTCCACTTCCCCCTTGCAGTGTGCTGGGACCCCTTCTAGCTTGTACCCGTGCAGGTCTTGTGCATGCTGCTGCAGTCTCTGTGAGGTCATATGCACATAAGTCCCACTGTGTCTGGGCGATACTGGTTTTTGGAGTCATCCATCCCTCTGGCTCTTACAATCTTTCTGCCTACTCTTCCACATTGTTCCCTGAGCCCCGAGGGAATAGGATAAATGAAGATATTCCAATTAGAATTGATGGTTCCATAGTTTCTCACTCTCTGAAAAGTCGTGTAGTTGTAAGTCTCTATACTACTTTCCATCTACCACAAGAGGAAGGTTCTCTAATTATAGCTGAGTAAGACTCTGATCTATGCATATAGCAGAATGTCCTTAAGACTCATTTATTGGTGTGTTCTACTAAAGGAATTCTTACTTCCAAAAATTTTGAAATTAATTTACCACTTAACCATGGATTTAACCTACCTTTCCAGTAGAACCTAGAATTTACCTCCATTTGACGAAAGAAAAAATTTTTTTGCAGACAGTATTTCCAGAATAAATGTGGAGGAAAATTAGAAAATATTTCACAGTTCTATTGAAATAATTAACTCAGGTAAGAATCATGAATTGACACTAAAACTATTAGGTGGAAGGCTGCAAGGAAAAAGAGTGTATTTGGAATTAAAGAAACAAATGTATATTTACAAATTTAAGATAGGGCAGGTTGACTTTTCCACAAAATTTTTCTCAGTCTTACTTATTTTTTTTTCACTTAAAATCTTCTGAAAATCCCAAGGATAAATGTGCTTATAAGTCTGTTATTCCTGTTCCCTGGTAATAATGCTCATTATGAGTCTCTGCTTGTGCTCACTCTTCCGGAACATCTCCCACACTTTCCCTATGATACTTTCCACACATTGATTACTCTTTATAGCTCTTGGTTTCTTGACACTTACTCTTAGATTTTGGCATATACGTCTTTGAAACTGTGGATGCGTCACAGATAATGATCTTTCCCCATCTTGGTCGCATTACAGGATAGAACTTGCTTGTGGCAGTTAGGACCACAGGGAGAACTTCATCTGGTTTTTGTGTGTTGTCATTCAGCACTTCTCAACATGACTGATTTAGCACAAAGTACAGAGCTTCCCACGTAAATGGAACACAGACATCAAAGACCAAGAACAGTAGCCAAATCCTCTCTACTGGACTCTGCTCTGGGGCCACACCTAGGCTTTGCTCTTTATATTTAGCTTCTGTTTTCCTCTATGTTACTACCTCTCTGTCTTCTGTAGGTACCTTGGCATGGTTTTCTGGCTCTCTCATCTGACCTGGCAATAATCTGATTGCCTTTGAATGACACCTTTTCATTTTTTTTCTTTCAAATTTACCATCACACTTAACCTTGGCCTTTGAATTCAAATTCCTTTCCATTCATTAGGTTGAGATGACTTCTCAGCCATTTGGCAGAGAAAGGTAAAATGTTACCAGAATGTGTCAATCCAATGTCTGGCTTCTACTAGCATTCCTGGGAAATGCAAAGATGGACCACATGAAATGAAGGTAGATGTGTAATGGAATGATTTAGGATTACACTGTTTGACTAGTACCAATTCTTTCTTCAGAATATAAAGCTTCTCACCAGGAAATATATTTATTTCTCTAAACTAACATTAAACTTCTTGTCTAGAAAATGAGTGCAGAAAAATACTTCCAAATAATGATAAC